CAACACACACACACACACAACACACACACACATATATATATATATACATACATACATACAAACATACGATATATATATATATATATATATACATATATATATATATAATGTATTTACTGTTGCATAATGTGATTTTCTGTTCACGCACATTTACAATCGCACAGATATATACGCACACAAGTTAATGTGGATAGTTATAGTTACATAAATATACTTGTATTGATACATACACAAATACAAGGAATCATTTTCCAAATTATGCATAAATTTGTATACGACTTGTTTCCAATTCTATTTCGAATTCATGTGTATTTCGGCCGAGATGCTACGTTCTTGCTAATTTATTTTATGTATGCGTAATTTTGTCTACATGCGCATTTATTATTAATTGACATACCACTGACTTGCAGTTGAGCAGCGCGAATTGCAGCAGTGGCACAATGCATTTCTGAAAGACTGTCCTTCGGGTACCTTGGATAAGGATGAGTTTCAGAAGCTCTACAGACAGGTGTGTTCACAAGGAGGTATCAAGTTCTATACATTCATTATACGCGTCGATTTGTAGACTACAATTTTTTTCGACATTAAGTTTTCGCTGACCACAATGGTTCTATCACGTGCATTGGATGCTGTGTGTGAGTGGTGGATACTGTCTGAGTATTTACTCCCGTGCGTATGGGACTGTTGAAAACTTATTCTGGTTTTGGTATCTGCTTTACATATTTAGCTAGTTTTTATCGTAGCCTGTACTGTGCTGAGCCCACGCTTAGAATGGCTCTCCATCACTGCTTTTGCCTGTTGTACACATGTATTTATTGGGTTGGATTGCTCACTTTAGTCGTGTATTAGATTAAAAAAAAAATGAATATAGTCATTGATCGTCATTGAATTCTGGTTTTAATTGAGGAGAGGTGATCGACCCAGGGGTTTTACATTTACCGTGCATATATCAATATGAAGTCCCCTCAGAAAATATATCCTTAATCGAACCAATCAGTGGCATTACACCACCCATGCATGATGGGATGAACGACTGCACTCCACATCATGTGGATATTCGTGTTTATAGCGGTAGCGCCACTCTTACCGTGTTACTCTGTTGCTTACTATCACAGTTGTTTCCGCTGGGCGATCCAAGTGTGTTCTCTCGGCACGTGTTTCGGATCATCGATGAGGACAACGATGGCTTCATCAGTTTCAAGGAGTTCATGATCGCCCTGTCTATTGCATCGCGAGGGAATGTGGAGGAGAAGTTGGAATGTATGTCACGCGTGCGAGTGGGTGAGTCGGTAATTTTCTATGGGCGTATACGAGTGCATTAGACAGTCAAAGAATTCAAATGCTTTGAGTTTATTGACTCGTATGACTCTCTAGACAGATTTTGTGGGGACTTGTATGTAAGTTCTGGTTTTGAATGCAGCCAGAACACATGTTGCACGGGCTTGATATGTGCATATGTACGCGTGAGGCGGCCTGAATACGTACACTCTCCTTGGTTGCTATTATGTACAGTGTTGCTATCAATACATCTCGAATATTAATGAACTGCCGGCATAGCAAGGCCTTCTTTCAAAGCTGCAGTACTAATAGGAGAAGCTCAATTCGATAGCGAAGTGATGGCTATCTCGGGGGTTCAGTAGAGAAAACTACCGATAACAGACTCCTATCACTCGAGATTCTGGCCTCTCATTGTGATGACAGACCGTATTTATTTGATTTCTAATCTCTCATTGCGATGACAGTATGGTAACATACTCATATTAATTCAAGTTCGGATCTCTCCTTGTGTAGGGGCCTTCCGTTTGTATGATATTGACAACGATGGAGCTATCTCGCGCAGTGAGATGGTATGTCTGTTTCGGATTGTATATGCCAGTGCAGTGAAAACGTACGCAGGATACGTTTACTTGACGACCTTACCTTGGGTGGTATTTGTATCGGCACGTGTGATCTGTGTAGGTCAGTTCAGTGTGTCTATAGGGTCGGATACAGAGGTGTGTCGAGTGCTGTACTAAATCTTGGCCGCTGCTGCCACCAATTTACTAGTTTATAAGGTAGCGTTTGAGACAGCATATACTGCAGAACAATCAAAATGAATCTTTTACAGTTGGGTGGATGGTTATGCACATGCTTGTAGTGCTTCGAGACCTGTTCGAGTTTTCTTGTGAGATTTAAGCTATAGGTGGCCAATGCATGTTCATCCTAAAGAACATACGGATGCTTGTATAGCTGGTCTGGATCAATGTGCCTAGCAACGCGCATGATTTTTACGAATCGAGGTGTCCTTTGCATATAACGCCACTTGTGTGTAGTTTGCTCTTGTACCTGTTTCTGGCGTCCATCGAAGCGCATGGTATCATTCACTGAATGTTAGCTCAATGTAGACCATGCTTAACACCTGCAGATCCTTCATACTGTAACCATTGTATTGTGTATAGCTCTGGTGTAGTGAGGTGTAGCAGCCCGAGGGAAGCGTGTTCTTGGTTGCACATGCGCAAGATATACCCGCCTGTAGCGAGTAAGCGTTCTGTTCATTTCCACACAACTCATTCTTAGTATTGGTCCTTCAAGTTAGTATCATCGCAACACCCATAGCTTTGACTGGAAAAGGCCAAACCAATTATATGTTGCTGGCAGGCCTTCTCAATATACAATATGCACCCAACCCCTCCAACAGTACCGCGTCATGCTGTCGATTTACCAGATGATCGGAGAACTAGTACACTTTCCAGATAACGAGAACACCCCTGAGAAGCGCATTGACCGCATCTTCGAACTATTAGATGAGGTAGGGATGAGTCGCAAACTATGTACACTCGCGATTGGTTCTCGCGAATTGACTTTAGCATATACTGTATATGTTTTATATATTCTAAAAGGTGATGAAGGACTTCAACGGACTTCTGCTATATGCTAGCGGCTTCTACACATGTGTTTTCCTCCAGCCTGTGTACGCTACTCATAAAGGTTATATGCGAGTCAATATATATACATGTGTGTGTGTGCGTGTGGCCGTGTCTCTGCCTGTATGTTTGTGCTTGAGTGTGTGTGCGTGTGGGGTACGTCCATGTGTGTGAGAGAGTGAACATGTATCCGTGCATACCCAGAAGTCATCAGGAATAATTATGCATACATAATTCTCACTTTAAATGCCCACTTTCCAAAGCATCATGCCTTTAAATTTTAGAGAATATATACTCCCGCTCGGCTGTTCTGTTCGATAATAACAGGAAAATATGGGTTTTTTAAAAGAAGATTTCATCATCTCAGATTACCAACGTATTTTCTTCTTCAGAATCAGGATGGACTTCTGACCCTGGAAGAGTTTATGAAAGGTTCCGAGAAGGATCCCAACATAGTGAGAGCGCTAGGTCTCTATGATGGGTTGGTCTGAGTACTGTGAGACACACAACTCATAGTTCCTTCAAAGTCAGCTCTCCGTATTCACTGATCTCTCTTGAAATTACGGGAGGGTCAAGAAACACAGGGTGCACATATACCTACCGCTTGCACACAACATACACACGCGTATGATGTCCCAGTCAATCACAGAGACACCTTTTGAGCTTACAGCACATTGTCAGTTGCTCTGCGCTTCTAGATTCTATCCGCAGCCCACGCCGTTCTTGACAATTCCTCCGAGTTTATGTATGGAGAGGTTTACGGGTAACAACCCTACACCAAGTAAGATAGTGAGTGGGCGCTATGGCAACCATTTTCAATTTTATCCTGACTGATCTCATATCGCATCAAGCCAATACCACGAGGCATAGCCACATCTCTCGCTATATCATGGGTCAACCTGTGATAACTTACTGTGACTCTGCATGACGAGAATTACAATCAAGCCAAGGTGGCGGGGTTGATCAACTGCGTCGAGTTTGCTTGTCACTGCCGTTATAGTCAAACCAGAGCTTCAGAAGTGGGGGGGGTAAGGCAGTTCTATATACTCCGACCAGCGTTTGTATTTAGCACTCATTATATGCATATTTGACAGTGGAACCTGCGTTTTTAAACCAGTCACAAAAACATCTAAACTGAGACAGCTTTCGGGATCGAGCTGGTGCTCCAACGCTTGCCTCAACAGTTAGGCGTCCTATATATTATTCTAAATCAATATCTATGCAAAATCTCAGGGGTGATGTCCGCATGTCCACATTCTGGTATAATGAAATGGTGGGCTCTGTTACGAATAGCGGCGTGATGAAATCGCGCGTCTAAATCATTTCTGGATAATATTGTTCGATCTTGGTGCTCAATTACCTTATCAAAGGTCCTGGCTACTCACCTGTACCTGTTACGGAGAAGAAGCGGATAATACATGCGCATTGGGAGTTTTATTTCTAAATGCAGTAGGCATGTTTTATTAAAAATCTTACTGAAACATATCTGGTGATAAACATGATGCCCTGGTAAACATGTAGGATACACGCACAGGTGCAATAAACCCTAAATATTTGGCAATATATTTATGGCATGGTATACATTGTGCTGGAAATACGCAGCTGCAGTTGTGTGCAATTAAGGTATGCATATTGGTCACCAATTGTATACTTCGTGGACCGCATCATTGTATATTCGTCGAACGATGGTTTCTGAGTGCTATTATCTGCAAGTACATGGGTTAATTGATTAAGACGATCTGCGATATGTTTCGGTATCAATTATCGAGTAATCACATAGCCATAGTTAACGCTTCAAAAAAAACAAGTGTTCGTCCACCAATTGGGAATGAGCAGTACAGTTTTATCAGGACTACTCGACTATTATCTAGGTCAACAACTGACCCAGGTGAGGAGATCAATCATCTCTGTTTTGTTGTATTTTCAATGCCGTCATCGGTTCGTCCACCAATTGAGAATGAGCAGTACAGATTTATCAGGGCTACTCGACTATTGTCTAGGTCAACAACTGACCCAGGTGAGGAGATCAATCATCTCTGTTTTGTTGTATTTTCAATGCCGTCATCATGCCAGGATTCGGAAGGTGGCAGGTAGTAGCCGGCCATATGTTCTTGCACCAGCGCTTCGTAAGTCGCGCTCGTCTGTCTCAAAGAACGGCACCTGCAAATCGAAATCACATACTATTTCCGCCATCATAAAAACTCGCCCGACATCTATCGACATTTGAAGATTTCGCAAACTGAGTGTAAACTCGACGTCGTCTGCAGAAGCATCTATGTCACTGTTTTTGATGGTCAGTATTACCCTTAGCAATGTATACTGATGGGTGTTTGAGAATGTTAGTGTTAAATCTGCTGATCGGAATGTTCTAAAGTTAAGAGTTCTTAGTCAAAATGTCACAGAAGTCAGGATCCAGATATAATAAATATTTCAGAACGCATCCTTTGTTCATGCTATTTTTTTTTCACCGTCCATTCTTGTAGTCGAAATATCTGTCATGCCATAATGTATCCCAATCGAATAGACTCATACCAGTACAATGCATTTAAGTGTAGTCGAATAGACTTATACCAGGACAATGTATTAAAGTGTAGTTAATTACATTAGGAAAGCGACCGCCTACGATCCACTTTGAACATGTCACCGGTATTTTGCACAGTTGCGGATACAGCAGAGACACACAGGCATCCCCGGTATTAAACAGCGACATTTTAAGACATAATAGTCTAACCCATTTAAGACAACAATACCTCCATAGTTACAAGGGAGAATGTACGATCCAAATTTTGTTTGAGATTAGAGCCAGAAATGGACTGTAAAAGAAATCAAACAAGAGCCTGAAAACGACGCACAATATGACATGGACAAATTCTGGTCTGGTTTTGGGTCCTTCCAATAACTATTTGATATGAGAGTGAAATTTCCGGGCCGCAACATTGCGAGCTGAACCCTTGTTCTCCGGGTTCGCTAATGCGACACGACCGGTATACATCGACTCGACACCTATCATAACATAGTTATGAACGGGCCCGCTAATGAAATTTCCGGGCCACAATTTTGCGAGCCGAGCCCTTGTTTCGCCGAATTCGCTGATGCAATCGGTGTACTTGGGGGCTCGATACCTGTTCTAACTCACTTATGAACAGTGTCCGTTTAATCTCGCCCTCAAATCAAAGTACCATGAGGTATATGATATGAGAGTGAGATTTCCGGGTCCACAGCTTTGCGAGCCGAGCCCTTGTTTCGCCGGATTCGCTGATGCAATCGGTGTACTTGGGGGCTCGATACCTGTTCTAACTCACTTATGAACATGTCCGTTTAATCTCGCCCTCAAATCAAAGTACCATGAGGTATATGATATGAGAGTGAGATTTCCGGGCCACAGCTTTGCGAGCCGAGCCCTTGTTTCGCCGGGTTCGCTGATGCGATCGGTGTACTTGGACTCGACGCCTGTCCTAACTCACTTATGAACAGGTCCGTTTGATTTTGCTCGCAAATCAAAGTAGAATGGGGTAGGCTAGTTCTAGAATCGACGAGGTTCACTTTTATACTGACGGCATTTTGGTAAAGTAGAGCTGGCAGGGGCGATTGTTACGCCACCGATCTTCGAGTCGACTGAAAACGAACGCCTTGAAAGCGTCTCAAACAGAACCTCAGCGTTGAAGCCTTAGCAGCATAGCCAATGCCATCAGCGAAAGCCTTATAACTTTACAATCATCTGGAGCTCAGGAAAATTGTCCTCATCGTTTGCGGATGCATTGTCGCATCTCTACACACTCTGTTGTCCTTTTATCATCTGCTGGCAAGTCGAATCGTCAAGAACCAAATCAACATGGTATACATCCACATGCGTCGGAATTCAGTCGAAGGTTATTCACATTTGCACCAAGTAAATCTGGTGTTGACAACTCTAAGTTTAAGGAGAAGGTCTCAATGCACCTGATGTGACTCATGAGACGATGTCTATCAGTAATAAAATTGTGGTCGTAAAGATGAAACGGACTGGTGTTCATCAGCGCAAGCCATATTACTGGTAGTAACCAGCTTCATCCGATGAGAGAAAGTCATACTTCCGGCTGTAATGGTTTCGGACAGGAGAGACGGCCACTGTTCACCTGGCGAGCCTGGCTCGGAGAGATCTAGTCAATGCTCATATTTTAGTTTGTTCTTGTTGTTTCTGGTTCTTTTTAAACACAAGCTATGAAAGTATGTCATTATATAGTATTCGAGAGCCTACCTGAGTGACTACCTCAGTGGATTTTAAAGACCTGCATACTGATAGTACGATCTCTTCAATAAATATCTGCTCACTCTCTCTCTACACTAGAGATGGAGTATTTACGTATATTATCTCTACTAGTAGTCTGGTTGGCAGTTTTCACTTTTCCCCTCACTCCCTGCGTCACCATCAACCCATGACTTGAAAAATACTCGCCTAACGGCCAATCATAACCGCTTGGCTACTATTCTCACTTTCAATTCGCTTTGAGCTTAGTTTCCGACCAGGTTTTTTTAGATGTGTTATCTTTCTTAACCATATAACTTCGTTCATTTTTTTTCCTCGTATAATTCTTCTTCAAATATGCACCGCAGCACCTTAGTCCTTTTCACAAGCAGAAGCGTTCAACAGTAGGTAACTAGGTTGTCACAGGGTGCTGAATCTGAGTTCAGTTCCTAATCAGCAGGTGCATCGATGGGGCGATATAATATATATTTGAAGTTATGTATCGAGTATTGACGCACAAATTGATTAAGTCTGTCGAGACTTTATTGAGACATCCACATTTTAAGACAAGAGAGTACATAGTCACTCTAGTCAGGAGAGTCTTGTCTGTACTCGGTCGTCTGTAAATAGTCTGTATGTAGTCTCTGTTCTATGTAGAGACCTATTCTGAAGAAGAAGAAAAACGACCCACGATGATACATACATACATATTTTTTATAAAGACACTTCGAATTTTGGCGCGTTGCATGTATTTATTGCGCCCCTGGGGGCTGGAGCGAGCCGTAAACTCCTTGAATTTCCAAAACAGAAACACAATTCAAAGAATGTCCAATAAACATCAGACAAAAACTTTCTATGAACACGAAAAATTCTTGCAGAATCTGTGATTCAAGATAACAGATATCATTGCTCGATCTCAGTTAGTAGTACAGATAAATACCATACAAAAACTGGATACCATTTCATCGCAATAGCGTAGTGCGAACGGATGTTAACAACTTATATGGATACGATCAATCTAGTAGGCTTTTGCGTTGGAAAATATTTATAGTGATTTTGTTGACACAGTTAAGCTTGACAGGATTAATATTACCACATGTCTCGGAATTGAGGAAAGTATTTACTGATACTTCCGTTACAAAACCAAATATTGATCGAAGTCAGCGTGTTCTTCATAAACAGAGTAATACCTTTTGACTTCTATTTGTATTACATTGCGAGCAAGTATTGCCTTACATAGTGTTGCAGTATATATACAAGCGCTCTACTAAACAAAATTGGAAGTTTGGGGAGGTAATCCAATACGTTCTCACAAATGTGCGATTGCAGGAAGATCTGCCACACCCTGAAACCAACTAGCAATGAATCACGACGACTTTTATAATCTGTGCCGCATGTATGTCTCATCGTTTAGTGTAGTACATGTACAAACTGACAGCGCAGGGATCAAAATTGTCATAACTATGTGTAGAAAGTACGCAATATTCAATAAAATCTCGCAAATCGACTGGATATCTCCAGAAGTACCTATTAATGAAAGTACAGTTCACTCTTGTGGACTCAAGTGTAAATAGCTGTGCAAAGTTGCGAAACTCGCGAAACTCGTGAAAAGTCGTGAAAAGCTGCGAAAATCGCGACTTCAGCGGAGGATTACAGAAACCCTATGCATTATAAGAATAATCCCCACCGTGTGAAACATTATATTTGGGAGCTCTTTGGACCTGTGGTGGGAAATTTCGAAATTTCAACTCTATCGTTAGTTATTTGGTTGTGAAAATTGGGATTTCGCGGGATTTCAGGGTAAATCGCGAAACTTCAGTGCCAATAGCTGCTGATAGAGTTAGAATTTCGAAATTCTCCACCGTAGGTCCATAGAGCACCCCAATATGGTACTCTACACGGTGGGGATTTTCCTAACCTGCAGATAGTTCCTGTATTCTTCCGCTACACTTCGCGATAATTTGCGAAATTTCGCGACTTTCGCGACTTTCGCTACTTTTGCGAGTTTTGACGAGTATACTCGAGTCGCCACTGCTACACTCGAGTCAACAAGACACAACTGGACTATTTTTCATTAGTGGATAATTCTGGGTAT